TTTATGCTAATTCATGTTCAACAAAAAAAGAAGAAGAAAAGTCCATTAAATGACAGTTAAATTCGAATTAAAGAAAATGAAGATTATTTAAAAAAAAACGCCTTCTTGACATTATCAATATTATTTCATAATTGACGTATTGTCTTCGTGTTGAAATCAAAAATAATAGTCGACAAGCCGACGCTCAACTCTGTAATTAAATGTCTAATCATTGTATCTTCTGTTGAGTGTCTGGAGTATAATAAATAAATAAATAAACAAATGCTCTTTTTTACACCAAGTACATAACAACTTCCCACCCCTATTAGCAGTTCATTTTCTGACATCTAGGGAGGACATTACTATTTCTTTCATTTCCTAATGGCATTGCACTATTCTTATAACACCTGTTTACAACTTATTATTGCCTGTTAAAGTGATATAATTTCATAAGTAATATAAATGGTTAACAAAAACTGCATGAATGGCTTACTAAATTGTCTTTGAATTAAAAATTCTTATAATATAAACTAATTTAGACCTTAATTTTTTATTGCTAGTTTTTGTAATTATCTTTTTTTTCTGTCGCGAAATGAATTTAGTCGTTCAAGTTATCTTAATGATAATTTAATTATTAGGATGGGCTTTTTTCTATAAAATAATCGCAAATCGTATAAACATTATTAAATAAATATAATAATAACATCTCATTTTCATATTACTCCAAGGTATGTGAAGTCAAAATCATTGTTACATTTGGAGACATCGTCAACTTTTTGTGAACAAAACTGCACTGCAAATAGAGTTTCCAGGAATGGAAATAGATAGTAGGTTATTAACTACTTTGACTATTTTTGTAACTCCTTGAGTGCATTTGAGAATCGTTCTATAGGTTCAATCATTTTTAGAAACATATTATAGACTGTGCTTGGCTTCATAACATAAATAATAACATTCTGTAGGAAGTATTTTATAGTGACAAAGGAATCTATTTTTTATAATATGAATAAATATCCCGGGTGGCGTCACAAAAGTGGCTCACATCTATAACTTTTTTATTTTTTCATATAACAAAACGATATTTGGTACGTTAGTATATGGCATCAATTAGGATTGATTGACGTATTCAATTGTTTTCCGTCGCTTCCTCTTTTAACGGAAATGACCACAACTTTTGATTTTTAAATGGCACCCCGGTGTTTTTTTACCAGAACACGATAGTTTGAATAGAATGACATATCATTGGTCACCTTTTGTCATTTTTACTTAAAAACAAACTGTATTTTAAATTTCAATCTAGAGTGTCATGGCTGCGTTAAAAACACTAATTTTTAATCAAGGAGCCTTGGAAAAATAGATTTGATCATTTAATGTTTTTCGTGTCTTATCCTGACCGTTTAAAAGATGCTCAAATCATATTTCAATTTTTTCAAATGGAACAAGGGTGGTTCATTAGCATATTTGGAAAAAGCATATTTTTATGAATAATTTGGTATCACACACTTGGTATTTCGAGTGAAATTGTTATTAGGAAACATTGGAAGTTCGGTTGCTTATTGAGTTTAAATATTTTATAATATTTCGCTAAGCCAGATTGTAGCCATCGGCATCAATGTGGTACGATAAAAGAAATATTTACAACAATTTATTTATTTAATTTACCAGACTTCCGAACGTTTCTGTTACATCTTTTATTATATTATTACTTCATTATTGTAAATGCATATCTAATCTAATTTTATTTTATGTTGAATACTTCAAGCGTATAGATAATAAATAAATAAATTTTAAGTTAAATAAAAATATCATCCAGTATTTCAATTATGCCACAAAATTAATATTGTTTTAAAATAAAAAAAAACACATAAAACAGTATGTATATCTCGAACAATTAAGAACAAAAGAAACTTTAAATTAAAATCATCTGTTTCGGTTTCTTTTTGCTTTTGATTTTAAAATGGTCCACTCGTTGTGCAGTCAGAACGTGTAGGCTATAAAGAATATAAATATAACCCATCTTAACTGAATTAAATGGTGGAAATTATTTTCTGTTTTTTATGTTGAATTAAACGGCTGTAATAACAATAAAAATAATATCCAGTTCCACATAAAAGAGATCGTGAGCAAGAGCCCAAACGACGGATGTATATTTGATAAGGGTCAGTCTATGTTTAATTAAATTTTATATTAAAAAATGATCATCATTTAAATAATTATCTTTAAAATTGAAATTAGTTAAACATCATTTCAGCTCTAATTCTGAATAGAATATTATTTCTCATACTATTCTACAAGTTGTCCTAAAAATGCTCGGCTAAATGTCAGAGATTCCACCAACAGGACCTGTTAACATTTTGATGTACAATATATCTGGTTCTGGGTACACCAAATTTTTGTAAGCAAATTTTATTAGGTACCATAAAAATTTTTGTATTATTAAAAACATTTTATTTTGTGATTTTCTTAAATGCGCCTGTGCACCCCCAATGCAACGTTTATAAAATCATAAATTAATTTTGTTTTTAATTTTTTAAATAATTTTTGTTATATTTCCCCGAAAATTTTAAATAATGCCAAGAAAATCAAAGTGATTGTAAAATTACAGCATTATAACTCTAATTTAGTGTTTACTAATTTTTCCCGGCGGAACCCGACTTTGTTTTATTTATTTAGATATACAGGGTGTCCCATTATTCCGACATAGAACTACTATTTTAGGAATCAAAATCAGTTCATTGGACACAATTTACCTCTTCTACACAAAAGAGCTTCGTTTTACCGCTAGAGGGCATCAAACTTAAATAAAATAAACACATTTTTTCAGATATTTTGACAGTTGACAGGGAAAAGAAAGCTTATATATGAAACACACTATTGATTCAACCAAAAACAACTCCAAAAATCTTTGGAAAAATCTTTCACACTTTGGAATTAAAACTAAATCGTCCAGTAAATCTATGATACCTAATTACTTAAAAAAACCCGACTTACTTAATACTCGTTTTACAACTGTGGCTCATCAATTAATAACATGTGATACTTTATTTGAATACTACAATAAAAATCGATTTAATAATAATATAAATTTTAACTATTCTGAAATATGTTCCCAAGATATATTTGATGCACTTAACTGTATCAAATCGCAAGCTTTGGGCAACGACAATATAAGTATTAATATGCTAAAAATAGTTCTTCCGTTTTGCATAAACGAAGTCAGAAATTTATTTAATGAAATAGTTAATCAAGGCTCTTTTCCAGAGGTATGGAAAGTAGGGCATATTTTACCAATTCCTAAAACATCGACCCCCACTTCTATCAACGATCTAAGACCAATATGCATCTTATCAGCAATGTCAAAAATATTTGAAAAAATAATTTACAAACAAATTAATAGCTACGTAGAACGAGAAATGTTAATACCAAACATACAGTCAGGGTTTCGAACGGGACACGGTACACAAACAGCTCTTCTTAAAGTGTCGAATGATATTGCTCACGGGTTGGATCGGTCCAACCCGACTATTTTGGTACTTCTAGATCAAAGTAAGACATTCAATCTCGTAAATTTTGATATGTTGATTTCTAAGTTGAAATTTTTAGGGTTTCAAGGGTCTTCATTGGGTTTGATTGATAGTTATATTCGACATAGATTACAGAAGGTTGTTATGAATGACGGTTTCCTGTGTTCTAAACTTTTGGAAACAAAGACAGGTGTTCCGCAGGGCAGCATTCTCGGTCCATTATTGTTTTCTTTATTTATAGTCGATATTCATAACTCACTGTCTACTTCAAATATTCATCTTTATGCAGATGATATTCAAGTATACAAATCTTTCAACATGGGTAACGTAGCTACTGAAATAAATAATTTGAATTTTGATCTGAACAGTATTCACGAATATGTTACTAACCATGGTCTTCGTTTAAACACTACCAAATCTGTAGCATTATGCATTGGATCTAAAAATCAGAAGGACTTGATTGAAAACAGATTTTCATTATCTGCAGGTACTAGTGGCAGTTCTATTGACTGGGTGATTTCTGCTAGAAACCTTGGAGTGTAATTTGACGGCCATTTTACATTCTCTGAACACGTAAACCATATATATAAAGTCTCAATGTTTAAGCTAAAAACACTATATCCATTTAAATACCAATTCTCATCAGAGTTAAAGTTGACACTTGTCAAAACATTAATTTTTCCCTCTATGGAATACTGTTGCGCACTGTATTATAACTATCTTCCACAATATAATAAGGACAAACTGCAAAGAATACAAAACAGCTGCTTAAGATTTGTAGATAACATACCATATAGAGACCATATATCACCATATTTGAAGAATAGGGAAATTTTATGCGTGTATGGGCGTATGCAGTATCTGATATCTATGTTTTTATATAAAATTTATAAAACCAAATCACCGACCTATTTATTTAATATTATTTCTAAAAGATCTGACGTGCATAATATAAACATTAGAACCAATACCTTTAGCATTCTGAAGTACAGCACAAGTAAATTTAAGGGTAGTTTCTCATATTCTGCACCATATTACATGAATCAGATATTGCATATGTTGAATCTGACCACATTTTCCTTTAAGCGTGCACTGTACCGGTTTTTATTGGCACAGCAGTCTTTGTGACTGACTTGTTAAACTTTTCTTTATTTTACTTAATTTTAATTCATTTATCTGTTTGTGGGTTTTGGATGTTTTTTTGTATTATTGGTGGTATTTGAATTTCATAATCGTAATTTATACAAGATATTATAAATATTATCCTATGTTTCGCTTAGTGTAGTATTGGCATTATCTATTATTATTATTATAAGAAATAATTGTTGCTTTCATTGTAATTTTTTAGGCGAGGTGGAAGAAAGCTTAACCAGCTAACCTCGTCCTTTTGTATTAAACAATATATATTTTTATTATTATTATCTTTTCTTTTCTTTTTAATCTCAACATTTCATGTCGGGCGATATATAAGCAGAGGAAGAAATCACTTCATCCTGTCTATATTGATAGGAACTTACGAACTAGATGGCAGGTTTGTAAAATTACGGCCTTTTGCATGGGATAACGTAAGCCTTTTTGTAGTTCCAATTTAGCCAAGTTAGGTGAAAGATTGGTGGTACAAACTCCTTCGGTGGAGATTATGAGGGGCACAATACTGACTTTATTTAGGTTCCAAATGCGTTTTACCTCTATAGCTAGGTTAGTATACTTTCTACATTTCTCTTGTTCTGTTTTGAATATATTGTGCGTGAGTGGGATTCCGATGTCAATAATCCATGCTACTTTTTCAGATTTATTGATAAGCAAGATGTCCGGACGGTTGTAATCCACAGTTTTATCAGTTATGATTGGTCGGTCCCAGTATAATAGATGTTGGTCGGATTCCAAAACTGCATCAGGTGTATATTTATAATATGGCAGCGACGATTTTATTAGTTTGCACCTTAATGCTAAGCGCGAATGTATAATCTTAGCCACTTGGTTATGTCGACAGAGGTAATCGGTGTCTGCAAGGGCGGAGCACGCACCAGTAATATGTTCGATGGTTTCACCCGGTTTAGCACATTTTCGACATACATCAATGGTGTCCGTCTTCAGGATGTGCTTTTCATAATTTCTAGTTCTCATGATCCTGTCTTGGATTGCCAGCATGAAACCTTCTGTCTCAGGGTGTAGATTACCATACTTTAAGAAAGAGATTGATGTTGTCTTATCAATGTGAGCAGCAGCTAGTTGTAAAGGATATTTTCCATGTAATATCTTCTCTTCCCAATTATTTATTCGACTTGAATGTGATTCTATTTGAAACTCAAGTTGTGGGGAAGCTAGATTGAGAGGTGTATATGCTTGGTCATGTTCGACTACTGTTTGGATATTTGGGTGAGTGTGTTGTAAAAAGTATTCTCTCATTTTACGTTCTTGTGATTTGCAAAGAGATTTAATGTTGAGCAGTCCACGTCCACCCTCGCTGCGTGGCATGTACAGTCGTTGGATGGATGAATTGGGATGTAAGCAGCGGAATTTTGTAAGCGTTCTTCGTGTTGTTTTATCTAGTTCGTCTAGATCGGTGTCAGACCATTTTAGAATTCCGAAGGAGTATGAGAGTGTTGGAATTGCCCAGCAATTAATGGCCCTTGTCAGGTTCTTGGAGTTTAATTTTGTGTTTAGCAATTTAGTGGGACGGCTTTTATACTTTTCCATGGCCTCTTTCTTAAGATTTGTATGGGGGATTCCAAGATTTTGTTGTATGCCAAGGTATTTGTAGGTATCGTCAGGTTCGAGACAAGGTATATTCATAAAATTTTCCTCGGTCTTCACCACGTGTCCTTTCTTTATTTCTATTGTAGCACATTTATCTAGACCAAAATTCATCTTTATATCGTCACTAAATTGTTGTGTCACTGTTAGTAGAGACTCAAGCTGTTGTTTAGACTCGGCGTATAGTTTAAGGTCATCCACGTAGGGCAAGTGACTATATCCAGTTCGGTCTCTCATCTTTATCCTGAAACAAGCATTAGTGTTGTTAAGTAGTTGGGACAGAGGGTTCAATGCCAGACAAAACCACATAGGACTGAGCGAATCTCCTTGATATATTCCACACCTGATGTCACCTTTCCTAATGTTTTTGTTATTAAGTTTGAGCGTGATTCTCCATAATTTCATTATATATGTAAGCATTGCTTTTACATTGTCGGAAATTTTGTAGATGTCAAGTATTTTGAGGAGCCAGTTATGTGGTATGGAGTCAAAGGTTTTGGAGTAGTCAATGTAGCAAGTATGTAGATTACGCTTTTGAGCCTGCGCTTTTTTCATAATTACAGAATCGATCAACAGTTGTTCTTTGCACCCCATTGCTTTTCTTATACACCCTTTCTGTTCGAAGGCGAAAATGTTGTTGCTTTCACAATGCTGGTATATTTTATCATTTATCATAGCTGTTAGTAGCTTGTAGAAGACCGAGAGGCATGTAATGGGTCTATAGTTATGTGGATTGTTCTGATCTCCTTTTTTATGTATAAGGTAGGTAATACCCTCAGAAATGTGTCTTGGTAGCGTAGTGGGATCATTAAGCGCTTTTGTAAAGCAACGTGCAAGTGATTCATGAGAAGCTGTGAATTTCTTGAGCCAGAAGTTATGGATTTGATCGTATCCAGGGGCCTTCCAATTTTTTGCTTTCTTTAGAGCCTGACTAACATCCATATCAGTAAAAGTTGTTTGTGGCATATCTGTTAAGTTTTGCGTTGCTCTTTCAACATTTGTCAGCCACGGTGCAGTTAAATCAGCATCTTCATTACTAGCCCATATGGATTCCCAGTACTCTTGAAAATGGGTGTCCGAGTTATTATTCTGCACAGAATTCAGTTGTTCAGGGGAGTTGGTTGAAGTTAAGGTTTTGTAGAATTTCTTTTCATTTTTTATAAACATTTGGTTCTGTTGTTTTCTTTTTGTTTTCTCGTTATACCGGCGCACTTTTTGTCTCAATGTATCCCTGTGTTCCGTTAATTTTCTACGCATACTTTGGGAGTTGCGACTAATTTTGAGGTGGTGTCTAATCTTCTCAATTTTGGCCTTAACTTTCGGGGAGGTGTTGTTATTGAGATATTCTGCTATGATATCTGCTTCTGCGCGGAAATTGTCTATCTGTTGTTGTAGGCGTATTGCCCAAGATGGCTTCCCAGGAGGAGAGTGTTTCGTCTGGGAAGCTTCAGGAGAAATTACCTTTTGTCCATTAAAATCCAAAACAGTTATTGCTGCAGCATAAATTGCGTCTTGTATTTCCTCGATATTCTCAACGGCTTCAAGATGTTTTTTCAATACTGGGTTTAATTTGTTAATGATAACTTCTGCTTTAAACTTATTGGAGATTCGCAGGAGTCTTGGACGCTCCGATATACCTAAATTTTCGTATAATCTGAGAAAGCTAATAAAATTGTTATACGCTTCTTCATTCCCTATAATGTTCTGCTCTTCATTTGTAGTGTCTTGACTTCCGTCATTGACTGCGCTCGTTGACTTTCTGGTGTCTTGACTTCGCTCGTTGACTTCCTGGTGTACTTCTTGACCAATTATCTCGATGCTGACATCTTGTTCTGTAAGAAGGTTTCCAGCTTCACGGCGGAGGTTTGCTAGTTCACTGTCATTCAGATATCCTTTTTTAACAATAACGTTTTTCCTGTCTACAATATTTTGCTCCGATAGATTAATTTCTGGATGTAGTTTCTGAAATTCTTTGTGGAGTTTATATCTCCAGCCTGGGAGCGCGTCGTCTCTGCACTGATTTATGTAATAGAAGGTACGCATAACGTCACAATTCAATTCTTTTGACCATCTAATACGCGTATAGAGTACGTTCCTGGTAGTAGCAACCCGCGTATTTGGGCGCGAACTCTCAGGTGACGTTGCCGTTTGGCTGTTTCGGCTCTCTTCGTATTGCGCTCGCTGACTTATGGAAGCTGTGGCTTTTTGAGAGATGGGTGCCCGCTTCCTCAGCAACCCACCACCGGCGTTTTCGCTTGTGTCACTTCCAGAACCGGCTCCGGAAATGCCCTGGCGCACCCCAGGCAGCGGCTCTTTTCCGAGGCAACTTTTAGTTTTTCTCTCCATAACGAAGGGGTGTCCTTTTTGATGGTATTAGCATCAGGCAGGACTTACCTTGATGATTTTGAAGGGGTGGGAAACAAAATTAATTTTGTAGGATTGGGAAAGTTTGAAGGTGGCTAGGATATGGGAAGGATAGGAATGCTATAGGTTTTTGGGACAACGGACAGCCGGCGATACTGGCTGTACCGTTTCCGCATACGATAGCGGTAGGTATACTGCTGGCTGCGGTACCCTTGCCGGCCAGACATTATTATTATTATTATTTTTTTTTTCAGATATTTTAAGAACCATTATTCTGATTTGAATGAGATTCTGGGTGTTTATGTTTTGTTAAGTGCTTTAACATTTGACTTTCACGAAAATCAAGAAAAAGTTCTGGAAGGGTAAAAACTACCCCCACCCCTGCATAAATCTTAGTATAAATATTTTCCAACTTCACTGACGACAGATTTTATTTTCGTAAAATGGTCTCTCTAGTATTGACTATATTTTTTTTTTCTCTTGTAAAAAAACGCCACATCGCATAGTTTTTTAGAAAACATTTGTTTTTGTTGAATCAGATGGTAAGATAGACATTGGGTTATCTTACTCGATAGAGATACCATGGTGTAAAATCACGTTCTGTAGAATGTAGAATGAGTCAGAGGGGGCTTCTTGCACCAAGCCACAGATCTATGCGTTTTGCAGTAGTTTTCATCAACTGCCACGTCCATGGTGTATATAGTTAATAGAATTTTATTGACTAATGGGTTATATTTTAATTAATATTTTATTAAGGATTCTAAATATTATAACATCGTAATAATTGAAAACCAAGGTGATAAAAGTTTCGATGTGTAGATAGGTTGACGCTCAGTCTGGAGTGGTGTGATGTGGAATCGCGCTCATCCATCTGGATTCCTACGTGGATGTGCCATTGTGAGAAAAACTCTTCAATCTTTATTAGGAGGATACGTGAATGTTATTGTATAACAGAAAATGATCATATATTATTATTTACTTACTTTTTTATATTGTAGAAAACGTATTTTATGTTTTTGTCTGGGACTTCATTTATTTCTTATGCTGTATAGAGCGTTTATGACAGTGTAAAAAAGCTTGCAGTGCTGAAAAGAAAATGAATATGTTATAAATTAAATCGGGCTTATATACAGGGTGACGCCTCTAATACGAGGCAGATGGTCCAAGCAGAACGACGGTTTGTGTTGAAATTAAATTTTGTGAGCATATGTAGGTTAAGGCGCGATTCCCACTATAACGTACCGCCACCGTTACGTCGAGCCGCCGCGCAGCACCGCCGCCGGCTTGCTGCCGGCCCCCATGCTAGATATTCTATATAAATATACTTTATATCGCCAACAATGAACATATTCACACTATCCATAACGTCGCCGTCGCGTCGTGACACTGCCAATCTTCCATTTAATAAAAGTAATAAATTTATTAATATATCCTCTAACTAAATTATTTAATAGATGTATAAGAGACGGTACGTATCCCAGTTGTTTAAAAATTTCCAACATCGTACCAGTATTTAAAAAAGGTGATCCTGAAAGTGTGAATGATTATAGACCTATAGCTTTAATACCCACACTTTCAAAATTTTTTGAATATTTATTGAAACACGAGTTAACACATTACTTTGAATTTAATAACTTGTTCATAGAGAATCAGTTTGGGTTTCGTAAAGGAAAATCTACAACAATGGCTTGCATTCGTTTGATGGAAAATATAATTGAGGGTTTTGAGAGCGGTAACTATGTTGGTTCGGTCTTCTGTGACCTTACCAAGGCCTTTGATTGTGTTGATCACAACACACTTTTACAGAAAATTTCATATTATGGAGTAAATAATTTGAGTTCGAAATTATTGGCTGATTATCTTGTAAACCGATCTCAACAAACATTAGCCAACGGTACGCTCTCTGATGTGAGTGTTGTAAAATATGGGGTTCCGCAAGGCTCAGTATTAGGACCCTTTTTTTTTGTTAGAGAAGAGGGGAAGCGATTTACCGCCGAAGTGTGTGGGCTCGATGCGACAATGCGATATTAGCCGCATAATACCCACTAAACCTCTCTCCTATGCTAGGTGTGGATGTCGATCGCCGTGAGGCATACGGATGCATCCACTCCTACCTTTACTAGTCACTCCGTCGACGTTGAATCGCTCTAGTAGCTCGCTTAAACTTAATCTTTATTATCACAGAATCGATTATCACTGACAGGGGCCCATGCAGGACAATTTACATAGTTCTATTAGGTCTTGCGGCCACTACCTCGTCGACTTCAATAAGAATGTTGAGACACAACTGGTCAACAGCCTTCCAACAGTGCTCATCACGCAGCATAACCGTGATGAGGCTTCCCTCAGTCAGGTGTCCTGTGATGGCTTCCGTCTCAGTCTCAGTGCCGCATGTCGGTCGCATTCCAATAGTACGTGCCCGGCATCCTCTACATCGCCACAAGCTCCGCAGTGAGGAGAGGCAGCTTTTCCGATGCGATGCCTGTAGGCAGCGAACGTACCATGTCCGCTCAGAAACTGCACCAAGCAGTATGTAAGTCTCCCATGGTCTCTCCGTAGCCATGGTCTCAGGTCTGATATCCAGCGCCGAGTCCATCCGCCCCGATCGCTGCTTTGCCATCTTCTATTCCACAGCTCCAGGAATTTTTCTTTTTTTGCCTTGATGGCACCTTTTTCTAACCGTAAGATTCGCTCCTATATCTAGCTTGTAGGTCTAGAGGCATTATCCCAGCGAGCACTTGTAGTGCTTCTGTGGACACTGTCCTGTTTGCCCTGCTTACATACAGGAGCACCGTCCTCTGTGCCCGGTTTAGAGCGTCAACATTCTTTGCCAGCTTTAGAGCGGTTTCTGCCCATGTGGGTGCAGCATACAGCACAGCCGACGCGTGTGCAATTGCCAGCATCCTGCGTGCCCAATCACCGGCGCCACCATCGCGCGGCATTAGTCTTGTTAGAGCTCTTGCACTCTCCGCTTCATTCTTTGCCTTTGTCTGAGTGTGGTAGACAAAGGTGCCATTTTTGTCTAGCCAGACGCCCAAGTATTTAATCTCGTCCTGAATTGGCACTTGTACTCCCAGAATGTCGACCTTCAAAGCCCCTACCAGTTTTGCTCTGCCGGTCAGTCTGCAAACACAGGTCTTTTCAGGAGCTAGTTCTAGCCTTCTGCTTTCTATCCACTGTTTTATATTTTCAGCGGCTATCGTTGCAAGTCTCTTGGCTTCATCCAGACCTTTACCTATAGACACAACGGCTAAGTCGTCCGCAAAGGCTATCGTGTAGACGCCACTGGGTTGATCGATGGCGAGAACCGGATAATACATGATGTTCCACAAAAAAGGTCCTAAAACTGACCCCTGTGGAACTCCCATACTGACTATCTTACTGTAACCACTCCCAGTAAGAACCACCCGTTTGGAGAAATAACTCTTTACGATGTTGAGTAAATATTTCTGTATTCTCCTTCTCTCCAGCTCTTCTATAATTATGTCCCACCTGGCCGCGTTAAACGCATTTTTCACGTCCAAAGCTACCATCAGGCAGATCTCCCTGTGCCTGCATCCACCAGCTTTTGCGCTCTCAGCGAGCTGCAAAATTCTCTTAACAGCCTCCACGGTGGAACATACCTTGCGAAACCCGTACTGTTCTGAGATCAGTTCTTCATTATTGGCTGTCATATTTTCCTCCAATCTGGTATGGATTATACGCTCAAGTAATTTGCTCATCGCGCTGATTAAACAGATTGGTCGTAGGCCTCCAGGCTCTCCTGGGTCTTTTCCCGGCTTGGGAATCAAAACGACTCGTGAACTTTTCCACTGATCAGGAAAACGTCCCTCGCGCAGTAACTTTGTCATGGCCTCTGCCAGCTCTTCGGGATAATCATCTGCCTAAATCTTTACCGCCTCTGCAGGAATGTTGTCAAGTCCTGGAGCCTTGTGGATTTTCAGGGTGGCTGCCGCAATTTTTATCTCCGTTCGTTCGATGAGGGGGATACTATTTTCATCAGTTGAGTCTAGCTCCCTTCTAATTATAGGTGTGTCAGGAAACAGTCTATCTACCTGCACTCTTGTAATGTTATCCGGCACTACCGGGCTCACCTGTTTGCCAAATCTTTTTGTCACAAGACGATATGCCGTGCCCCAAATGTCGTTCTCCACCTCGTTGATGAGATTTCTGAACGAATCTTTTTTTGCAGCCTCAATTGCGCGTTTAGCAGCTCTCCTGGCTATTACGAGTTCTTGCCTGGCGGCAGTCTCTTCCTCCGTTGGTGCACCTCTCGTGTGTAGCCTCGCAAGCCTGCGATGTGCAGCATTTTTTACTTTAAGAGCATCGGAGACTTGAGGTGTCCACCAATACACGGTGTCTTTCCGTTTGGGCCTAACCAAAGTTCGTCGCAGGCTCCGTTTCTCAACCAGATAGCTGCATTGAAGTTTTTACTACAAACCCATCCAGGGTATTTGTTAAGGACAGCTTTGTTTGGTTCAGACACTAGTGCAGTGTTGGCATCATATTTATTAGCCAGGACAAATAAGGCGTCATGAGCTGCTTTGCTTTTGTTTAAGTTACCTTGTAAGACATACATAGTTGATTAATATATACTTAAAAAATAGAATACAGCACATATAGAAGACATACTGGTGTATAAAGCCTTTAAATAGGTAAATAAAAAGAAGTTGTATATTTCTGCAAATATATGTACAAAAAAAAAGAAACGCACATATTATACGGGGACTACACATTGTATAAATATTATTGTAGAGGTGCGCAATCGCTATCACAGGCATTATCACAGATTATATCACGAGAAGTATCACAGACAGTATCACAGACATTTACATTACCCTCTGCAGCGTTGGATAGAGCCGGTTTGTTATTCTCCAGAGCTACCAGTTCTTTTTCTTCCATTTCATTTCCTCGCCTTTTTCTCTTTTTGGCTGGCTGAGTCGGGCTACTTTCTTGAGGTTCCCCTTTTTCTAAATTATTTG